CTGTGCCTTGCAGGGTGGAATGGTCGTATCTCCAAAGACGTGCGGGTGCTGGCCGCCTCCTCCTCCTGGATGTCGGTCCAGCCGTTGAGGCCTCCGTCTGTGGGTCCGGCATTTCCCCAGACTCCTCTCCAACGATGCATCCCGCAGGTCTCCCGCCGTCCACCGTGTACCCGCTCTGATTACTGCTCTCAGCCCGAGCATGCTCAGCCCAGGCCCGGCCGTGGACCAGCGGCTGCCTGCACGTTGTATCACGCGTGGATGTTGTGTCTACGGCGGGAGAGGCCCCTCGGAGCAGAACCTGTCTTGTGTTGTTTTGGAACCTCCTTCTCCACCTACCGCCACCGCCGCCGGCAACCAGATAAGGCGTTACGTAGTGGACAAAAATGCTTGTCTACCGGCGGGCATTCCCGGCACTCGGAGGCTGGCCTCCACCGTAAAGCAGCGCTCTGTAGGTGAAAAGCTGGGTTTCCAAGGCTGAGGAATGTGTTCAGAGGAACCTCCTTATTTGTGCAGTTCACCGAGCAGGCGAGGTCTGCCCGGAGAGGGAGCTGGGAGAGCCACGGAACACTGGGAGGCCTGTTGCATAAGCCTCACAGAACGTGTTGACCCTGGGAGACTCTGCGGAGCTGGCGAGTGACCAAAACTACAGTTTCACAGCCGCCTGCCTGAGCATACACACTGTATTCAAAGACATTAGAGTCACGAGCGTTTGCCTGGGCTTTGGGGAAAAAATCTAAAACAGTTTCTCCCAGAAGTCTTTACTGTGAGATTCCTGGGAATGGCAAGCTGTGTAATTTACATGATTTATCGGTGTGCTTGGCTTCTCAGAAAGGTATTTTTTAAAGATAAAAAAGTAAAGGTGCAAATGATCAGTGTCCAGGAAGACAAAGGTGCACGGCAGCTTCTGGCCACGAGGGGGCGCCATCTACATAGTGCTGGGCTCTAAGGAGCCAACGAAGGGGACTGGGGCTGTGCCCAGGTAGCGCGCTTCAGCCCCGGCTCTGCAGCCCAGGTGCAGGGCTTGGCCTGGACGTCAGACCTCTTTGGTGACTCAGGCGGCTCCCAAAGCCGTGTCTGTCTGGGGTGCAGAGGGCCAGGAGTGGTCAGGCCGGGGAGGAGATCGTGGTGAAATTACAGACTGAACAGAACTGCTGCGCTGGCAGCGGTGCGCGGGAGCCAGGAGGGCGGCGGCGGTGTCTGGGGCATGACCTCGGGGCACCACTGCGGTGCGGGCTAGGGGGCTGGGTGGAGCCCGGCCGGGTGTGGCGACCACAATAGAGCTGGGGGCCCCACAGAGACTCGGGGGGCCTCTGCTGCCTGGCCAGCCCGTGGCCGCCCCGGGGCTCTGTGATGTGGCTCAGGCAAAGTCCACAGTTTCAGCCTGGTCCCCTGTGGCCTGGCTTCAGGCTCCCTTCCTCCACAGCGCCTTCTCTAAAAGTAGCTCTTCTCCAGCCCGGCTGGATGGCCTGCCTTTCTCCCAAATAACTTGTACTTCCTTCCTTCCTTCATCCATTCATTCACTTATTCTGACATGCACCAAACACGTAGTGCCCACTGTAGACAGGCACTATGACGACATAAGACATCGTGCCTTGCCCTGGCTGATGGGGGATAGGAGGGCTCAGTCGGCTGGAACATCATCTCGTGCACCAAAAGGTTGTGGGTTTGATCCCACCTAGGTTGCAGGTTTGATCCCCGGTCAGCACGCATATGGAAAAAAACCAACTGATATTTTTCCTTCACAGCAATGTTTCTCTCCCTCCCCAATAAACATATCCTTGGGTGAGGATTTTTAAAAAAAGACCTTTTTTTTAAAGACATTGAGTCTTTTTTATTTTATTTATTTTTAGAGAGGGAAGGGAGGGAGAAAGAGAGAGAGAAACATCAATGTGCAGTTGCTGGGGGCCGTGGCCTGCAACCCAGGCATGTGCCCTGACTGGGAATCGAACCTGCGATGTTTTGGTTTGCAGCCCATGCTCAATCCACTGAGCCACGCCAGCCAGGTCAAAAAAAGACTTCTGGTCAAGATGGCGGTGTAGGCAGACATGGCTGTCTTCTTCACACGACCACATCAAGATGACAACTAGGTGATGGTACAGAACAACCATCATTCAGAACCGTCAGACCCTGAGTCAATGCAAGTCTGACAACTACAGAATTAAAGAAACCACATCCATCCAGACTGAGCCTGCAGGCTGGTGCCCTATCGGAGACTCCATCAATCTGGCTAGCACTGTTGGACCCGCCTCGGAGATCCCCTGAGACTCCACCTCGCCCAACTTACTAGCCCACCCAAACTGCTTTTCCATATGATTAGCTGGTCTTGGCTCATCCTTCACAACTTCCTGAACCCTCTCAAACAAGCAGCAGCCGGCCTTAGTGAGCCCTGGGGCCCCTCACTAGCAGCAGCCAGCTTTGCATCACAGCTTGGCTTTGCCTGGCAATCCCCAAGCCCAGCATAAGCAGCAGCCATCTCAGATTGCTTTATAGATCAATCAGGGGTGGCCCCAAGCAAAACACAGGTGGGGGCTGACTGTGTCCTGTACCACCTGGGAAACCCCAGGGCCAGCACACCCAGTGGACAGCTACAGACCACGTCGAAGCACCACCATCCGGCCCCTGCACAGCTGGTCCTCCGTGGAGGGCAGAGGCTGTGGTCAGTGGTCACAGCCAGTCCTTGCAGCTGACTGGCCTGGGCAAATCCCTCCCATTGATCTGCCAACAGCAACCAAGGCTCAACTACAAGAGGGGAGTGTACTCAGCCCACAGGAAGCGTGGACCTCTAGTACCCAGATTGGGTGATAGGGGAGGCTGTGCCACTGGACCCTACAGGACACCTACTATATTAGGACACACTACCAAGACATGGAGTCACGGCAGCCCTACCCGATACATAGAAACAAACACAAGGAGGCTGCCAAAACGAGGAGACAAAGAAACATGGCCCAGATGAAAGAACAGGTCAAAACTCCAGAAAAAGAGCTAAATGAAATGGAGGTAAGCAATCTACCAGATGTAGAGTTCAAAACACTGTTTCTTTTTAAATTATTTTATTGTTGTTCAATTACAGTTAAAAACACTGTTTATAAGGATGCTCAAGGACCAGAGTGAGGACCTTGACAGCATAAAAAAAGATCCAGTCAGAAACAAAAGATGCTCTAATTGAAATAAAGAACAATTTACAGGGAAACAACAGCAGAGTGGATGAAGTGGAGAACCAAATCAATGATTTGAAACATAAAGAAGCAAAAAACAACCAGGAAGAAGAAGAAGAAGAAGAAGGAGAAGAAGGAGAAGGAGAAGGAGAAGAAGAAGGAGAAGAAGAAGAAGAAAGAATCCAAAAGAAAGAGGTTAGTGTAAGCAGCCTCTGGGACAACTTTAAGAGGCCCAACATTCGCATCATAGGGGTGCCAGAAGGAGAAGGAAAAGAGCAAGGAATTGGAATCTATTTGAAAAAAAATAATGAAAGGAAGCTTTCCTAATTTGGTGAAGGAAACAGACAGGCTAGTCCAGGAAGCACAGAGAGTCCCAAACTAGATGGATGCAAAGAGGCCCACGCCAAGACACATCATAATCAAAATGCCAAAGGTTAAAGATAAAGAGAGAATCTTAAAAGCAACGAGGGAAAAGACAGTTTCCTACAGGGGAGTTCCCGTAAGACTGTCAGCTGATTTCTCGGAAGAAACCTTGCCGGCTAGAAGGGATTGGCAAGAAATATTCAAAGTCATGAAAAGCAAGGACCTTCAGCCAAGATTGCTCTACCCAGCAAAACTCTCATTTAGAATCTAAGGTCAGATAAAGAGCTTCCCAGACAAGAAAAAAAAACGGAAGGAGTTCGTCATCACCGAGCCATTATTATATGAAATGTTAAAGAGGCTGATTTAAGACAAGGAAGAAGATCAGAACTGTGAACAATAAAGTGGCAAAAAATACAAATCTATCAACAACTGAATCTAAAAAACAAACTCAGCAGAGGAGAAGAACAGAGACGGAGTCATGAATACAGAGGGCGTTTTGATGGTTGCCAGGTGGGGGGGTGTGGTGTGGGAGAAAGGGTGACCAGGTGAGGGGGTGCACAGGCACAAACAGGCAGGTACAGAACAGCCACGGGGACGTACAGCACGGTACGGGAAAGGGAGCGGCCGAGGAACTTACTATACTCCTGCCCCCTGGACGGGAACAAGGGTTGGGGGATGGCCTGAGGGAGTCGGGGGTGCGGGGAGGAGGGGGGCTAAGGGGGAAAAATCAGGACACCTATAACAGCATAATCGATAAAATATAATTTTTAAAACAGACATTGTGCCTTTAGGAACACTGCGCTCTTAGGCTTCCGTGTCCTTATTTATTTAGGCTTTCCTCCCCGCCCTGCCGCGCCCGGCCAGACTTTCCCATCCCCCCCGGGGACCTCTCCCAGCCTCTCCAGCTCCAGGCACTCCCTTCCGATGACCCCCCCCAGTGAGAAGAGGGACCTGGCCTGCCCCAGCCCCTGCTCTGCAGTGAGTGTGCAGCGCAAGTGGGGGCTGAGTCAGGAGTTGTTGACGTGAATGAGTGAGGTGTTCTTATCTGTGCCTGACTTCACAGCCCGATTGCTGAACACTTTCCCTCGGCCGGCCAGTCGTCCGGTGCTGCCCGTGGCGTCTCTCCCGCTGCGAGGGCGTGTTTATGACCTACTGGACTAGCGCGTGGTGGTTGGGTGGCTGGGTCACACCGGGCTCTTGCGTTGCAGGCGAGGGACGGAAAGGAATGTACTGGCTCACTGGACCGCACCACCAGGGCATGGGCAGGAAGGGCCGAGCTTGCCCTGGGGTGACAGGCCTGTGGGGTTGTGACGTGGGGACACTCCTCCACTGAGCGTGTGTCCGCCCCCTGCTTCTGCGGGCAGGTTTCCTCCGCCCAGAAAACGTCTGTCAGCGGGTCCACGTTCACTCCTTCGAGTTCAGCAATCCAAGATGGCTAGGGTTTTCCTCTGCAGGTCCATTTTTTTAAATTTTATTTATTGATTTTAGAGGGGAGGAAGGGAGAGAGAAACATCGATTTGTTGTTCCACTTATTGACACTTTCATTGGTTCACTCTTGTATGTGCCCTCACCGGGGATTGAACCCGCAATCGTGACGTATCTGGATGGCGTTCCAACCAACCGTCCAGCTGCAATGTTTAAATCCTGGCGAAAGCTCTGGTAGGCGTGGTTTTCCTGGATGACGTGCTCTTCCCTTGGACCAATCACTGTGGCCCGGGGCAGGGATGTAGGATGATTGGCAGCCCTGACTTGAATAGCAGTGTTAGACTAGAGAGGGAGCAGCTGATGCTCAAAACACGGATCAGAGAGACACACACGGCCCCTGGGAAGGGCTGGGACCCCGCCCTGATGTATCACCTACAACAGACGTAGTACTCACGTTTTCACGGTTTTTCGTTATTGGGGACAGGGACCAAACAGGCCCGTAGCGCCTCTGTGGACAACAAAAACTTAGTGAATATTGGCCGATGTACAGCAAAAGATTCTGGTGGTGGTTGTCATTGTTTTCGTGGCAGAAGCCCCTAGTAGACGCCCCTACACTTGCCATGAGCCTGCAGCTGTCCGTCCCGGGCGGCGTCACGAGGCTTGTCTCGGGGGTGGAGCCAGAGAGAACGTTGGTGGCCGAATTACCACCCGCTGTTCCTCCGGAGAAAACCCGCTCAGCCCTGCCGTGTGAGTCAACCCTGGCTTTTTCCCTCGAACGGAAAATGCCTCGAAGACTGGTGTTCCTATTTGCGTTTCTGTGTTTATTTTGGTAGAAGGCAGACCAGACAACTTGGTAAAACGCCGTCTCCCGTGGATGGTCTCCGGCGCGTGGCCCTTTCCACAGATGAGACACTCCTCTCTGAAAAGCTCAGAGGAGCCCCGTTAGGTGGAGTTACTGTGCTGCTTCCTTTGGTGGGGAAACTGAGGCCCGGCGCTGGTCATGGGCCCAACCAAGGGCACAGAGCCGTGGGAAGCGGGGAGGAGGGTGGTGAGATGTGTGTCGGTCCAGAGCCGTGTGCCAGAGGCTTGGAGGACGCCGAGTCATTCCCTCCGCACAGTCATCCGCTGAGCTCAGACTCAGACGACAGGCTGGGTGAAATGCACACGCCTGCTCCAAGGTCAAAGACACAGGGAGGGCCGGGCTACGTTGAGTCCAAAGCCCATACCGTTTTACTTCCTTATACCGTGCAGACTCGGCACAGGTCACCTCGCCTCCGTGTGCCTCTGTTTCCTAATCTGTAGAGTGGGGACAGCAATGGAGCCCGCCCCGTGGGTTTGGTGCCAGGGTGAAGTGAAATGACACCCGTGGGCGGCAAGAGCTCCGAAGGTGGACGCCGCGGTGGAGGTTGTTGACATTAACACCGCGGGACCTCCCTCAGGTGTCACGAGGCAGGCCGCTCCCTGGTGCAGGAGAACCAGATCTCGTGGGAGCCCCGGCCAGGCCCAGGTGCTCGGAGGCCCCGCGGCAGGTGCCTGGGAAAGTGCGCAAGGGGAAGAAAGGGAACAAAGGCTCCAGGTGCTCAGCTGGCGCTTTGTCTGGCTGAAAGCCTCGTTTCCTGGTTTCCTGCTCGATCAGGTTGCTCTTGGCTGGCTGGGCTGGCGCAGCCCGCCCCTCCTCCCCGCCCCTGCAGCTGAGGGGGGAGGGCTGGGCTGGGGATGCAGGGCAGGGCCCAGCTGGCCAATGCCCTTTCTTTCTGGGGCCTAGCCTGGGGGGGTCTCAGTGAATGAGACCCAAGCAGGAAGCCATGGGGCCCTGGGTCCCCTTCCAGCCTAGGAGCCTCGGAAAAACACCCTCCCAGCCTCCCCCGTGGCGGGGTAGCCCTGGGAATGAAGGTGGGGGCTCAGGGGCCAGGATCAGAGACCTGGGCTTGAATGCCAGCAGCGACAGAGTGACCTCGGCCCAGCTGCCTTTCTCTCCGAGTTCCGGTCTCCCTAGGGTGTAGCTCAGACGGCTGGGCTGGTTCACAGATAAAGCTCCCCCGGGCCCTCGCATGTTTCTGGGGCGCCCAGTGCCGCCTGTGGGAGGTGGCGCGGCAAACCCCGTGGAGGGTTATCGCGGCACAACACGAGCTACATCATGTGGGCCCTCGGCTCACACCTGCTGCCGCCCCGCCCGCCGCCCTCTCCCTGCCACTCGCCTCCTGCAGTTCCTTGAACTGGAGTGTGTTCTGGCCTCAGGGCTTCTGCCCATGTCTCCTGCCCGTGTCTCCTTGTTCTGGAACACCGTGTGCCCAGGCGTCGGCATGAGCTGTCCCTGTCGCTCGCGTCTTAGTGCCTGGGCGTGACCTCCCCAGAGAAGTCTTGTCCGGGCCCCCTGAGCTGGCCCCTGCCTGGTGCCTCTCTGTCCACCTCACCCTGCTTCGTGTCAGAGAGGTACGTGCCGCTCTCTGAAGCGATCTAGTTTCCGTTGTGTCACCCTTTAAAAAGTTTATTGTTATTTTTCAATTGATTTGTTGTTGTTGTTGTTGTTCCACTGATCGATGCATCCATTGGTTGCTTCCTGTAGGTACCCTGACCGGGGATGGAACCCACAACCTTGGTGTAGCAGGACGACGCTCTAACCCACGGACCACCCAGCCAGGACCAGTTTCTTGTCTCTCTTTTCGTTGCCTGTCTCTCCACCGACATCTAAGCTCTGTGCAAAGGGGCCTTGTCTGTCCTTCCTCCCGCTGTCTCCCCAGCCCCGGAGCAGGGCCTGGCGCTCGGGGGCTCTCGCTAAACCCCGCCCCCTTCCCGGAAGCGGCAGGTACGTCCCTGGCCGTCCCTGGCCCGCGTGAAGCCTCCCCGAGCTGGGCAGCGGACCAGCGATGTGATGAGGCAGCACGCATTCCTGGAGTGAAAACACTTTAGGGTTGCAAACGCACTTTCACATTCGGGCGGCGCTTCCCTCGCCGCCTCACGCGGACCTACCTGTCAGACCGGTGGGGCGAGCTCAGGAGCTCCGTTTTATGGATGAGAAAACCGAGGTGCCCAGAGGCTGAAAGCAGCTGTCCAGGGCCCTGCGTGTCAGAAGAGCAGAGTCTCAGAAACCCCTCCCGAGGCTCCAAGCCCAACGTGGGAAGGCCTTCCAGGCGAAAACCCACCCTTCCAACCTGTCTGCCCCTGGGGGGTTGTGAGCCACAGACACGTATTTAAAATCGCTGCACGGGTGGGGGGGGGGGAGCGGGGCAGGACCCTCATCTGCGAGGCTCTCTCCCGCTCTGAGTTTTCCTGGGACTCTGCGGTATGCGGAGACGCCTTTAGGTCTCACCCAGGAAAATCTGTTCCTCCGCTGAGCCGTCTCAACGACGTCTCCTCTCTCCTGCGGCTGCGGACCCCCCGCCGGGCCTGGGCTCAGCCCCTGGTACTGCGTTCCCAGAGTCCCTTGCAGAGTCCTGGGCCCTACTCGGCGTCGTCAGCCCCATTCGGTGTCCCATGTATTCGACCACAGACGAGGCTCAGGGCGGGGGCCGGGACTGGCCCAGCAGGAAAGCAGCGAAGGCGGGTCTACGACTCAACTGCTGACCCAGCTGGTCCTCCTGACCCCACTCGCCCGACCGTGGATTCACTCCCAACGGCACGGCAGGGAAGGTGGAGTGCTCCCCGGTGAAAATTGTTGAAATCATAACGCCACATTTAAATGTCTTTATGAAGCTCATTAAGGGCTTATTAAGTCTTGCAATGACCTTTTATTTACAAAAAAAAGACTTTGTTTATGTATTTAGTTTTAGAGAGGGAGGAAGGGAGGGAGAGAAGCATCAATGTGTGGTTGCCTCTCCCACGCCCCCAGCTGGGGACCTGGCCCGCAACCCAGGCATGGGCTCTGGGCAGGGATCAAACTGGGGACCTTTCGGTTTGCAGGCTGGCGCTCTACCCGCTGAGCCACACGAGCCGTGGCTGCTATGGCCTCCGCTAGATCCACGGCGGGGAGGGAGGGGACAGGATGAGCCGGGCTGCCCCGGCTGCGGGGGGAACAGGGGGCAGGCCCCTACGGGAGGGCAGAAGTCTCCACCACCGTGCGAGGGAGGGTCTGCCGGTGCACACAGACACAGTGCGCAAGGGGTGCGCCTCAAAATGCCAGTGGTGGCCTCTCGGGGTGACTTCTGTTCTCTTCTTTATGCATTTTGGTATCATCTGATTTTTTTTCACCCTGAGAAGCATTCCCTTTATTATAATAATAATGACAGCGACAACAATAATCACAAAAGCCGTTTTCACGTTGAGAAGCCATCGGAAAAAGCCCCTGAATAGACATAAAGAGACGGACAGAGGCCCCCAGGCCTGTTTCTCCCGGGGGTGCTAACGATTGGCACCACGAGCCCTTCCCGAAGGTCGTGCCCTGTGCTGGGAGAAAACCAGCGAAAGATGACTTGCTCACGGGGGACTGTTCGTGAGTCAGAACGTATTCAGAGCTCTGGAGTTTCCAGGCCGTTAACCGAGCCGCCTGAACCCATCAGCTCGGGTCAGCCCAGCCCCACTTGCGTCTACACTTGCTTTCCTGCCCTGCCTGCTCTTCTGGGGCCGCCCCTCCCCCCGGCTTCGAGCACACGCACTCACGCGGACACTCCCCGGCCCCTCGAGCGTAAAACCTGGGAGGGGCGAGGGCACGCTTGGCTTATTCATCAGTGCACCCTCCAGAGCGCTGAGCTGTAAACTCCCAGATAAGAACCAAAAAAGAACAAGCAGATATCGGCATTTCCTTTCCCACGAATGTTGCAACAGACTGGACTTGGTTTAGAGCATGCGTTTTGTGAATAACCAGAAAGAACTTACAAGTCTCTCCACAGTGGTCAGTATATATGTGCATATGTAATATACATTACGGTATATCCAGGAGTTAGAATACTATACAGCTGTTAAAAAGAATGGGGGTGAGGCCCTGGCTGGGTAGCTCATCTGGTTAGAGCATCGTCCCAATATGCCAAGGTTGCAGGTTCGATCCCCAGTCAGGGCTCATGCAAGAATCATGAATGCATCAATAAGTAGAACAACAAATCGATGTGTCTCTCTCTTGCTCTCTCTCTCTCCCCCCTCCCTTCCTCTCTAAAAATCAATAAAGAAAAAAATTTCAAAAAAAAAGAGTGAAGTAGATCTATGTAAAATGACCTAGGAAGTGGTGGGTTTTAAGAATAAGAGGGACGTTGCATAGCAGTGTGCATGTTATGCTCCCAGACTCACGGGTGGATGTCTTCTCCTCACACAGCGATGAAAACTGCAGGAAAACGTAGACTCGGACGTGGACTGTCCCATCACCACTTCCATCAGTCAGGATCAGCCAGGGTGTGCTGTGGTAACAAACACCCCTGAGCATCTCAGTGGCTTCAGACAACAAAGACGTATTTCTTGGCTCCATTCCCACCGCGGCTGGCAAAGGCTCAGCTCCAGGCAGCCAGCACCTGAGTCATCACGGCACCTCTGTCCTCTTAGGACACCACCTCCCCAACGTGAGGCTTGTGGGGGGTCACCAGTGCAAGGGGAGAAAGCATGGGCCCCCCTAGGGTCACACGCCGCTCTCCCCTAGGTTTCACTGGCCAAAGGCAGTCACGTGGTTACACCTAATTTCCAGAGCACGCGGACGCCCAGCCCGTCGTGTGCCCCGAGGGAAGGGAGCTGGAAACATGGGCGAGCCCTGGGAACCTGCCGCCCGCCCCGAACAACCACCTGCCGCAGGCCCTTCTCCTCACCTGGATCTGCACAGTAGCTTCACCGCAATTCCAAAACATAACACAGATTTTGCAGTCAGGGAGAGCTAGGTTTGAATCCAGTTTTATAAATATATCTATCTATCTACCCCAAATATATATATGTTACTCTCTCCCTTATCCATGGGCAGCCTCAGTCTGAGACATTACATGGACAATTCAAGAAATAGACAGTTCACAAGTGTTAAATTGCACGCTGTTCTGAGCAGTGAGATGAACTCTCCCACCGGGTGACCCCCCAGGGGAATCGTCGCCCCGCCCAGCGTCTCCGCCCGGTACCCACTTTGTAGCCGGCTGTCGAGGTGTCACAGTGCCTGTGTCCAGGTGACCCTGACTTTACTTCATAACGGTCCCGAAGCTCGAGAGCAGTGATGCTGACGATTCGGATGTGCCTCAGAGAAAGCCGGGTTTTCTTTTCCTTCCTTTCTTCTTTCCTCTCTCCCTTCCTCTCTCCCTTCCTTCCTCCCTCCCTTCCTCCCTTCCCTCCTTCCTCTCTCTCTCTTTTTCTTTCTGTCTAATCTTTACCCAAAGATATGTTTTTATTGATTTGGGAGACAGAGAGAGAGAGAGATAAACATCAGTGTGAGAGAAAAACATTAATCAGTTGCCTCCCGTATGTGCCCCGACTGGGAATCGAACCCACAACATTTTGGTGAATGGGGCGATGCTCCAACCGACTGAGCCACCCAGCCAGGGCCCAGGATTTTCTACATGACGTCTCAGCCACCCCTCTGTGATGATCCTCCTGTCTACAGCGAGAGTTCAGACTACAGTCCTTTTCGGCTGAATGCACTTCATGTCCACAGGGAGCTACCCCTCCCCCACTGTTCCTGGGGCGTCCCGGGCCCCAACAGTTGTGCCCCATGTATGACATGCCAACCGTCCCCAGACCCCGGACTTCAGGCCGGGCTTTGGAGAACTCAGGTCCGCCCCCGGGGCCATCGGGAGGGGGAAGGGCCGGTGCTCTCGGCCGGGCACCTGGCCCGCTGCCCGCGGGACCAGGCGAGAGCTGCCCACGAGGGCTGGCTGGGGAGCTGGCTGGGGGCCGAGGGCTGTCTCTCCCTCTGAACAGACACAGGCAGTCTGTTGAGATTCTGGAAACATCTGACCTTTGCAGAGCATCTCGAGAGTTGTCAGGGAGGGCCCGGGGGGGAGGGCCCGCGCTCTCTGTCAGCGCTGTAACCCTTTCCACACGGGCCCGAACAACAAAACGAAAAACGAGACCCGTCTCCAGGGAACTAGAAAGCTTTGCAGGCCTGTGTTCCTGCGGGTTTTCTGGGGGAGGTAGGTCACGCCTGGGGGCACAGAAGAGACTTTTTGTTTTACTTTGTGGATTTTTAGAGAGAGAAAAACACTGATTTGTTGTTTCATTTCTCTATGTATTCATTGGTTGACTCTTGGATGTGCCCTGACCGGGGACTGAACCCACGACCTTGGCCTATCGGAATGCCGCTCTCACCATCTGAGCCACTTGGCTAGCCCAGATCCCTGACACCTCTGGTGTCCTTTTCTCGGTTCCCGGCCTCGGTTCAACAGGACGAAGGGCCTGAAGGGCGGGGAGCAGCTGAGAGGGGAGCCAAGCGGGCAGCTTAGACTGACCGGCAGCTTAGACTGACCGGCGGTGCATTCCTGCGTTCATCCTACAACCGTGCGGGGGGCACCTACTAAGTGCCAGGCACTCTGTCAGCCTCTGGGGACACCACGGCCGGGTAAACCTGGTAGACACATGCCCTGCCTTCGGGGACACCCATTCCTGGAGGTGCGGGTGAATCCCATCCGCCCAGGGGGAGGCGGCTATGAACACAGCGGAGGTGGGGGCTGGGAGACGCATCGCAGTGCCGCTGAGAGGGCCTGGGGTGGGTTGACTTCATGCAGGAAAGACGTTTGAGCCGGGACGTCCGGCTTTGCTGGTGCAGAGCAGCACCCAGCATCTGCCTCTGGGAGCTCATTAAAATGCAGAACCTCACCCCGGTCAGGCGACTCGCTCGGGGCGTTGTCCTGGGCACCAAGACGTTTGGGTTTGATCCACGTAGGGGAGGCGACTGATGGCTGTTTCTCTTTCTCGGTCTCTCTCTCCCATCCCCCTTCCTCTCTCACAAATCAATAAACTGTCCTTGGGTCAGGATTAAAAAAAAAAAAAAAAAAAAAAGCAGAGCCGTCGTCGCCACCCCAGGCCCGCAGCGCCCAAACACGCGCGTTCACAGGCTCCCCCGTGTGCGCATGTGTGAAGGTCCGGACGCGGCGCTACGGGCCGACCGAGGTGCGGCCTGGACCTGGAGGAAGTGGAGACGGATCCGCGGGGCGGGGAGGGGCTTGCTGCAGGGTGCGGATGGAAGTCTTGGGGTGTTTGTGTATTTGTGCATGTCAAGAAACATTTTTTTTATGAGTGGGAGAGCACCGAGCACGCTTCAGCGCTTTGAGGAGTGAACGGGGGAGCGGGAGGGGGGTACGACACAGTGCAACGGAGGGGAAGATGGAGGAGGTGCGGCCCTGCGGGGCAGACGGACCTTCGGCTGCAAACCGGAACCTTCCGGGGCGGGTCCGTCCACACGGCAGAACTGCAGAGACAGAGGAGGCCTGAGCAGCGGGGGGCGTGTGGGTCCAGAACCACGGGGCTCCGGCTCTGGACCTCGTTTGTGGCGGCGGTTCCCCAAATCTACGCACGGGAGGATTGATTACTACAGGGGACACAGCCCCCCTCCACACACACACACACACACACACACACACATAAGGGCGTGTAAAACCCAGTGAAACGCAATGGTGAGGTCTGTAGGCTACGTGACAGTGTTATTATACCCCTGTCAATCACTCGGCCGGACCACGGAGCTGCAGTTCTGTAAGGTCGCCACGGGGTCGGGGGAAACGGCGGGCAGTGCTCATAGGACGCTGCGCACTGTCTTGTGACTTCTGTGGATCGATAGTCATTTCAAAATAAAAAGGTAAAGAAAAGCACGCATGGACCCTTACACAAGACACCTTTGGCAGGGACTGCAGAGGAACAAAAGCACGTGTATGAAGCGCCTCGGAGTGGCCGCCTGTGGGGGAGGGCGTGGGAGGGGGGCCGGCGAGGACAAACGGGAATAAACGGCCACATTCATCAGGGGACCCAGCCCCGTGGTTGCAGGGCTGGGAGCTGACAGGGTGATTAAGTGCGGCCTCTCTGCACCTGAGGTCCACAGCCCGGGAAGCGGGCAGCGGGGAGGGGGATCAATAACCTTGAAGATAAGACCTTCTCTCCACAGAGTAAAGCTTTTTGCTTTATTCAATAGGAGGCTGGAAGAAGGTTGGAGGGGGAGGAGAAGCAGAAGGAGGGGCAGGGAGAGGGGATGCACCAGGGCGGAGAGAGAAGGAGGAAGAAAGCGTGGGGGGAAGGGAACCGGAGGGGAGAGGGGCGGCGGACTGCAGGCTGGGGGCTGGTCTGGGGACCCACGGGTCCTGGCTGCCTCAGGCCCTGGAGCTCCCAGGCCCTCGATTCCAGGAGCGGCCTGTGCCCCGCAGGACAGGACGTGCTCAGTGCGGGGACTGGCGGTGCCAAATCTTCGCCTAGCCTCCTGCCTTCCTTGTGGGCGAGCAAGAAAGAGCCAATGAAACGAGCGCACGACTGTTAAAGCCATTCGCACAGGTCAGCGGCGGCATCACCGCTGCTGTGAAACACAGAGTTCTGCAACTCACTGGACGGCCGTGGGGAGGAAGGAAGAGTACTGGGGACGAAAGGAAACAGTTGAGGAAGTGCTTAGAGGCTTGATGATAAGGATTTGCACCTGGACGTGACTTCCCATCATCATGAACAGTTACAAACGAGCTAAGGACCTGAGAGCTGGGAGCTGGTTGAAAATGGGTGATACATATACACGCTAGAATCCATTTAAAACGAAGGCCTGAAAGAATTTTTTAAATGATTTTACCTATTCACTTCCAGAGAGAGGGGAAGGGAAGGAGAAAGAGGGAAAGAAATAGCAATGTGTGGTTGCCTCTTGTGCGTCCCCTACTGGGGACCTGGCCCGCAACCCAGGCATGTGCCTTGACTGGGAATCGAACCCATGACCCTTTGGTTCACAGGCCGGCGCTCAGTCCCCTGAGCCACAGCAGCCAGGGCTGCAAGAAGTTTTAATGTTATGGAAAAATGTCGAATATATTGCTGTTCTAGGGAAAGTTTATAATTATGTACAAAGTAATTTAAAAAATATTTTATGGGTTGATTGGTTTTTGAGAAGGAGAGGAAGGGAGAAAGAGAGAAAGAGAAACATCCATTTGTGGTTCCACTTTTTTATGCCTTCCTTCGTTGCTTCTTGTAGGTGTCCTGACCGGGGATCGAACCCGCAACTTTGGTGTATCAGGATGATGCTCTAACCAGCTGACCTACCAGGCCAGGGCCCCCAAATAATTCTTTCTATAAAAGCTGTAAATGTATAACTACATAGAAAAGAGACAGGAGGACAGTCACTAAAGTATTAACACCCTTAACCTGAGGCCTTGGGTGCTTTACATGTACATTTTATCTAAAAAAAAAACACAAGTTTTAGAAAATATTAACACTGGGGGTCTCCAGGTAGAGTGAAATCATGGGTGACACTTTTTTTTAATTGTTTTTTTGTTTTCCAACCTTTTTGTAGTAAATATGTGTTCACTTCGGTAGAGAGACGACCAAGTCGCCGCTTCTTTCTTTTTATGGGGGAGCATCGTCCGTCCAGGGACTGCGCTCGGCCCTCAGGCGGATATCTGGGCGGGAGGCGCAGAGAGAGGCGCAGCGGGCCTGCCCCGGCCCGGGGCGAGGCTGGCCCGTAGCCTCGGGTTTCTCCAGCCCCTGGCCCAGCCAGCTCGGGCCAGCTCAGCGGCACACACACCCAGAACGCGGTTGTTTCAGGAACCGCCCTGAGAGCGGCTGCGGCCTTCCTGGAAGATAGCAGAGCCAGCTCACTAGCCCCGGGGAGGGCCGGGCCAAGGTCACTGGCTACGTGCTGGATATTTATAACCGTATCTCACTCGCTTCGTTTCACTGTTACCGCGCGCGTGCGGGCGGCCCATCCATGACCGCGGGCGGAGACGCGGGTGGTTTCGCGCAGGGTGGCTCTGCGCCGCTC